GCATATCGACAGCTTGATTAGCAATGTGCTGATTCAACCAGAAGAGATGAACTCGCGAGTTTACTACTCACTGTTTGGTTTTTGTAGGCACCCAACCTTTAGTGAACTTTGCAAACCCAAAACGTGTCGTGTAATGACGCAGATAATTGACATAAACAAGTAGTGTCGTCTCGGTCTCTTTTTTTTTTTTTCATTCAGCACTTGAGCATGTTTTGACAGGCCTAGTAGGAAATTTCTTATATTATCAACCCTGCTAAGGTACTCATAAGCAGCATTTCGAAATATCGATCCCTGCAAATAAATTATTTTATATGAACATTTGCTCACTCAAGATATGATATAAGTGACACTCCCGTCAAATTAAATCTGACATTTTTCTTCCGTAAAATTGGCCAAATAAAATTAATAGCTGCAGGAGGAGAAATACCTCGGAAAGTTGGGCTGAATTCCAGCACTAGGCAACACTTCACAGACCTGTGTTAAGAAATATTTCTTTGTTTGAACAGATTAGCTTTGTAAATTTGGGCGTCGCCAGCCACCAAAAGTAAAGCTCTATTCGCCATCGACAATCCTGGACTCAAGCAACTGTTATGCACACCGCTCCTTTTTTTTTTTCGGCGTTAAATATTACGGATTTTAGATACTGGCAAAAATTAAAACAACGTACGCAAAAAAAAAAAGGAACGTCGTCATAATTGCGCATATCACAAACCCAAACCGCGTTTTGAATTAGCAAATAGAAACGACGTTATTTCTTTGTGCACGGTATTCCAAAACTCGCTACTGTTGTCGTGGCAGTTTCCTACGCGGGAAGTCCCAACTGGTTATCTAAATATAATCAATAAATCACTTAAAAATGACTTTCGAAATGGGAGCGAGCACAGTATTATCTTAAACTTCATAAGTAACCCCAAACGACTACGTCGCAAAAAAAAAAAAAAAAAAAAAAAAGATTGAGAATTTTATACACATATGTAGGTGTGCTATTATGAACAAACAAATCGCCTGATGTTGACGTAGCAATAGTTCTAGCCTCAGATAAAATACAAGTTAAACGTTCGTTGTCTATCTCCTCCGCGAGTTTCCTCAGATAATCAAAATAAACAGATTTCAATATATTAGAAATACAAAGAACGATACTTTCAGGAAATACAGATAGTCTCCTTGCGCTGACTATTCTTGATGCCTTCCGATCCTAAATGCACGATGTAAATATACGCGCCTCTTACTGAGAATGTTCCACCACTATTAGTAAACAAACCTCAGCTGTCATAAGCACCTTTGAACCCTCGTGATGTCTTAGTCGTCCAGTAGACGTATCGGGCTACAGTTTTCGAAGTGAGGCAAGAAAGCGCAGTGAAACGCGACGAAAAACACGATTACAACCATTACAAAGCTTCCGCCAAGGCGCGGAGGGGAGAGCGGAGCAGCAACTTGAAGCAACCTAATGGCTGCCGCGTCACGTGATTCGAAGATGGCAGCGCCCATGCGGAGGATAATGAAAAGGTCTATAGGCTTCCAAACAGACTGCTCCATGAGCGGTAAATCCTCGATTTGCTCCACTCCGCTCAGTAGTAGATAATAGCAAGTTTCAGTAGACATTCTTCGTGCTCCGCGCTACGGAACGACACATTCGCCACTGCTCATGCGCGGCCGTTCCGAGTTTGAGTGTAGCCGACTGCGCACGCGCAGTTGGGCTGGCTAAGAGCAGAAAGTGAGGATCTACTAAACTCCCTAATCTCAGGCCCAAGCGTGCAGTAATCCTCGTTGAAACCACCGAGGGTTCTCCAGGTGACCACTCTCCACTCGCAGCGCCGACCATCACAACGGCGCGTTCCACTTTGGCAAGCCCCTAGCGAAAAATCTTATATGTACAAGAAATGCCTTGGTCCAACAAACGCATATGATAGAATGCGATCGTATGAGAGCATACAAAAACATTATAAGAACAAGATTAGATTATATGGGAAGTTCTAAGAAACTAATAAAAAGGTTTCTTATAACTTCGTGTATAATCCTATATTGTTCTTATTAATTCTTATAAGGTTCTTGCATGCTCTTACGTGATCTTATTTAATCATAAGGGTTTATTAGACCAAGAAATTTCTCATGCATACAAGATATTTTACTAGGGGCGTCGCCGCTTTCGGAAGATGGCATGTGCCGTTGCTTGCTTTAAACGCCGCGTTCGCACGTTCGTTCGTAAAGAAAGCGCTTCGTTGCCACTTTAATGCTGTCAACAGCCGACGGGCTTTATCGCGAGGAAGGATACGATTAGGTGGTGAGATCATGCGCGTATTTGGGTTCTTTGGCCGCGCTTTGCAGGAGGCGAAATGTGCAGAAAGTGTGTTCGCAATAAGGATTTAAAAAACACAAGAAAAAAATCTATTATTTTTTAACTGACTGAAGCGAACAAGGATGTCATAAAATAAGTTTACAAAAAAAAATGTTTAGAGCTATATTTAGGGTGGTAAACCAATTTGTAGTTGGCGGCCGCGGGAGCTCGCAGAAAAGTGGCGACTAGCCGTGATGCGATTGGTCTGTAGTCACGTGAGGCTTCGGCTCTTCGGGAGGTCCTATCGTCTCTAGAAGTTACTTATAATCTTTTTTTTTTTTTGTTACGCTTCTTTTGAACAAAATATTTTGATGTTTGATAAACAACAAATATAAGAGGATCTTCACTTCCGTTTTGACACATACGGTAACAAACAAAAGCTTCGCCATTTTCTATTCGAAGGGGCGCGGTTTCAAACATTTCAGTTTCTAACATGTCGGTTCCACGAAAGCGACGCCGCTGCTAGACGATCACGAGGACTGCAGGTCTTCGTCGAGCAACGGCGTCGCTTCGGGGAAGAACCTCACAAAAGAGCGCAAGCACCGACTAGTGGCCAGTCACGTGACTGCTAGTTGGCACTTTACAGCGGGATACCGCGGGCGCCAAGTACAAATTCGCTTCGCGCTGGAAATAAATTTCAAATTTGTTTTTCGCTGCAAATTTATGTTATGACGTAGTTTCCCATCCAAAGTGTTTAAAGTTTTTTTTTCAAATGTCTTTTACTGTGGACGGCTGATCTTCTCCAGTACCTAATATTTAGACGGACATAACTCCCCATCTCTGGAGGCCGTGGCTTACTACGCTTGAACACGCAATCACGTGTCTTTATATTCAGAGCTTTCGAACCAGCGTCTGGGTGGGACTGCGCAGCGAATACGATATTTTCCAAAATCGTGCACATCTCCTTGCTAAAACGAACTGAAGCCCTAAAACACAAAGCGCGGCTTCCAATCGTTCTTAGCAACATCATCCCCGCTTCCCCCCCCCCCCTCCCCCCCCCTAACATGAAGAAAAATAAGAAAAAGAAAAATGCTCCAAGGGGAACATATAAAGAAATGCCAGTGCAGGGCACGCTGACTGAGGGCATGGACTGACGCCGACGGCATTGTAACTCACGGACTCAAGGCCGCTTGTGAATCATGTTGGGGTTACTCTTTTGTATCGTAATCGTTTTTTTATTTTTTCTAGTTGGAGTCTACGGCTTAGTCGCCGTGGGCTTAGCGGAGCAGGGGTAGGGATTCAAACTTTGGATGGGGCTAGTTGGTTCACTGTAATTAAAAAACTAAAAAACTAAAAGGCGAAAAAAAAAAAAAACACGGGCGAAGAAGAGGCACATACAACAGGGATTTTAATAAATCGTGTTAATTCTAACGGGAACACACCCAAACCGCATGCAGTGTACTCCAAGGTGTCCCCTCGCTTTGTTACAAACCTCTAGACGATGTTACGAAAGGGCGCCTGAACATCGTCGAGCGGTTCGTAGCAAAGGGAAGGTACTCCTTGCACTACACTGCACGCGGTGCGGGCGTGATCCTCTGTTAGTACTAACAAAATTTATTAAAGGGGCAAATAACAATACTGAGAGAGAAATAGTTGAAGCGTATTTTATAAATTCCTCAAACGACAACTGTGTCAGCACGCCCTCGATTTTATTAAATGACAAGGACGTTTTTTTCTGAATCGTTTTGTATAGTCATGTTGAACATGATACGAATTTTTAAATCATTGACATTTGTTGTTTCTATTTATGGGTTGATTTTATCAGATATGGTTGCCATGATGGTAAAGAGTGTTCACGCATGTGTGCTGGGTCGTTTGCCTTGAATCAGTTCAATCAGTTAAGTCAGTTGAAAGTTAGCGCCAGTCTGTGTTGTATGTGTCTGTTCTTCGTCCGCGTTTTTTTTTTTTTTTGCGGCGTTTAGTTTTTTAGATCAGGGGTAGGCTCTGGGGTAGGGGACGAGGGAGGCAAAGGGAGAGGAGGAAACGAGGGAAAAGAGAAAAGCGCGAACTGGTAGTCGGCCTTTAAGGCGTCAGTAACCATAACCCTAAAAAAATATGCGAAAAAATGTCTTAGCTTAGACATTCCGTCGGTTCCAATAAAGGTGCGATTGTAGGTTATTATTGCTATTAATATTTTGTTTGATTGGACTTTTAACTCAAAGCTAATTCTATCAAAATTTACCGGACATAGTTATCTAACAAATTGAGCATTCGAATTTTGACTTCACGTCGCATGACACCTCGACGTCACGATGCGCCATGAGGTTGCGCGATCATGTCACGTGACATGATGGCGCCACGTGATACCATATGTTCTTCTTGAACTTATAGCGGTGGAAATTGGTACCACAAGAAACCGTTACGCCATGCGGTGAGACCAGCAAGATCAAGAAGGGCCCGATATTGAGGGTTCCGATATAACGCTATCGATTTGAAAGTATCGAATGCCAATTTAGTTAGCAAATTTGGCCATTTGGCAAACGTTCTACATGATGGGGATGAACAGCTAAATCGAAGCAGACGAAGAAAACACGCAAACACGACTCGACGCTGCTCTGCGTGTCCAGTCGAGTTCGTCATTCAGTCCTCAGAGCTTACTGCGCTGTCCATCCAGATCCTGTTCACAAATCTGACCTATGAACCCACTGGCCACCCGTGCTTTCAGGTGGCGCTGAAGCGGCAGCAGGCCGCCGAAGACGCCATCGCCATGGGACTGCGTGCCGTGGCCACGGGCACCTCGCTGCCCTTTTTGCCACCGGGCCCCATTTTCGGCCTCCCGCTGGCAGCAAAGGCCATGGCACAAGCCAAGGGCTCGGGACCGCGGGCCAAGGAGGCCGCAGCACGGAGGGCTGCCAAGGAAGCCGCCAGAACGCTGCACCGCCAGATGCGGGCAGGCCGTGACGACGGCAGCGGGGACGACGCCGCCGAACTCGGGGAAAGAACGCCCCATGACAACAGTGGTGAGGAACTCAGCGAGCATTCCAAACGCCTCCTATGTTACGAGGGCGCCTGTTTACGTCCCATACCGGAGACCAGCGGGGCGGCATACCGTTTTGCACGAGTGCTGAATCAGCCTTGACTGGATTTCCTTTCCGGCAAAGCAGTCGAGAGAGTTAAGGCCTGTTCACACATGCAGCGGAGCGCTACAAGCATAGCGATGACCTCGCGCTAAGCGCGTGCTGATGGGAGCGTTCATCAGCTTTGTATCGCACCGTCAAAACTGTTGCTCATGGCAGACGATAAGTAGCTGACGGCACGTGAGGAGCGCTAAATCAGCGCTTCGCTGCATGTGAGAACCGGCCTTTAACCGACCAGCATCTACTAGATAACAGGGTCTCAGTAATGAGGTGTCTGCGTCACCCCAAAAGCCTGCGTGTAAGACAAATTGGACATGAGCGCAGAGACAGATTAGGCACCAGATTCCCTCTAGCTCTGACCTGTAGCTTTCTAGCTTTTAAAGGTGTCCTTGGCGAGCGAAATAACATGTTTATCAGTCGCGTTTCCGTTGTACATGGCATTGCGTCCTTCCTAACGCTTTGTTAGTTTTTGAGGACAGACTCTGAGGGATATTTAAATAAGCTAGTTTACATCCGTGGATCTTTCGTAATGAGACATAAGGGCGAGGATTAAAGTCAGCATTCTTATTGGCGCTGGTGGAGGCATATCTTTCGTGATCACGTCTCGTTGAGCGCTATAGCACCCTTTGGCCGATATAAACAGACATACGTATATCGACCTTTCCAATAATCGCGGTTTTTTCGTCGCTGTCATCTTTATTTTCTGAGCTGTATTAAGCGCACTGAACGTGCGCAGTTGCACTCTTCCACGAAATATGAAACGCCGCGCATGCGTGCACAGCCCAGTGACTCAGAATTTTTTCGCCTGGCGGATAAGCGCTGCAAAGGTCTATATTCACTGACAGTTTCAGAAACGCTAGGTATGACAAGCCCTGAACCTCTTTTATCGTTGTGCAGCCAAAGAGATTGTAGAGTTTGCCGATAAAAATACTGAAGAACGAATCACGAAACAGGAAACGTGAGCATAAGAAGCCACTCCCCGTGTGCGCGGTACCTTTAAAACTGGCACTTAATACCTGAAGCCAAACCATAGCCTCCTCTATACTCACAAAGCCTGGAAGTTCGACGACGGAGCCAAAGAGTGCTTGGTCGCAGATTTGGAACGCGAGGATCTGGTAGCACAGAGCCTCAAAAAGCCATTTCTTGGTTAACCTGGACGTCAGCGCACAGCTTTTGCAGCCTCGAGGACCCGAACTCACTTGTTCGCTCTGGAGAACTGTGTTTCGGCGTATCGCCGCAGCGGGGCGCCAGTCACGTGGCTCTTCTCTCATCTGTTTTCTGCCACTCCACCTTTTCCATTTCGGTGGCCGCTTCTCGTGGCGATCTGCCAGGCTTTGTTAGTATATAGGAGGCTATGGTCAAGCACAAAGCTGGGGGCCGAAGTTTACGCAGCGTGCCGATTGGACTTTCCCGACGATGACGCCGCACTTTTGTCGCCGCAGTCCGGTCGGTGCGCTGTGCGAATTTTCGGCTTTGACTGCTGCCTAAGAATAGATACAACGGAAGTTCGCTGAGGAGTTGTACCTTCACTGCTTAAACACGAGTCGCAGATGAACGTTGCGACTCGTGCCGTATTCGTTTCCCCTCGCGTGTGCACACCTTCCCACCACGTGTGCGGTAGATCACGACGGCGTGGGGCCGGATTTTATGCGTCGCCAACCGGGCAATCTAGATCATCTTTGCCCCCAGGCACTGCGTAAGCATAAAAACCTCGTAGCAGGGAATGCACAAGCATACAAGCACGTTACAGGATACTTTGTCATAACACGGCCGGACTGGAAGCGCGCGCTTTTTTTCTCTTCTTACGGCCTTTCCAATTGGGGCTATCGCCCCAATTGGAAAGGTGACAGCGCGGGGGGCGCTGTCACCTCACCCCTGGGCTAGCCTTTGCCGTTTGCACAGAGCGCGTCTGACAGTGTATCTGAGCGCTATCGCAACTTGCGGCCGTGCTTTTTATAGTCTCTTTTATAATCTCTTTTTAGACCCTCAGTTACTATCTAATGTGCTTCTGATGAGCCCAAAACGGTGAATATTTGACGCACATTTTCGAGAGATTCGGGAATAAAAAATATAACTAAAGACAGCGAATGCAATCGCGGAAAAACTATGCTCGTCTTTACCTCCAGGACTTCTGTTGCAACTTAAGAACAGGAGGACGGATCCCTTTTACGCGGAGGAACTTTAAGTGATAAATAATTCGTGCACTCTCGTGAAATGAAAGCAGGCCCAATCTACCTATGGCCGTGGTCTGCATCATAATTTTATAGGCCGCACATGAAGTCAGTTAGCTGCTCTAGATTAGTGTGTAGTAGTCTGTACAACTTTTGCGCAGTGCATTTTACAGCATAAAGTGCTTCCTCGTGGGCTTGAGCCCATACCCAGCTGACTTTTCGTTTCTGTCCGTGACCGTCGTTTCATGGTAAATCAGAAGTATTCTGAGGAACTTGTTGCAAATTAAACAAGCCAAGCGCTTTGAGGGACTGTTGTCAGCGCCCTCTGGACAATTTAGGACTGGCTCGTCTTCAACATAGGGTGCAATGAGTACTTGCAGAACTTCGGGCACATTTGTACGCGGAAGGTGCTTAACAGCCTATAAAAAAAGAAGCAACGATGTTGTCCAGAAGTGCGAGGAACCTAGGATTTGGATTATGAAGTCCACTTTCATTCACACACAATAGAGTACAGTAAAGTACAGAGGTCCCGTCCATGTCACGGGGAACACAGTTTGCTGACGACACTGGCTGTCGGTAGAGTGACTTAAATTGGAGCTAAGTTCAATAAATTGGTGCAAAAACAACAACCTACGAAGCTCGAACGCCATCACAAAGCAGCTCGAAAGGACTCTCCGAGTGGAGTGAAGTGGGGTGAGGTGGTTGCGCCCCTGGCGGCAAGCAAGTGAACTACATAAGGAGAAAAATGCAATTGACTCGCGGGCGATTGCAAAGGCCGTAAGAAGTGAAAGTGAGCGCGCGCTTCCAGTCCGGTCCTGGTAGTAATTGATCATACCTGATTACAATTAGCGAGATATACAAATCGGCATATTGGGAATCGAGCACCGGACAGTGCGATCAGCAACAAGACGCCCTTGCAAGGGGTCACTTGGAAGTTGTTTGTTTTTCTTCTGTTGTGGGTCACCTGGAAGTTGGAAGCGAACAAGAGAGTAAAAAGGCCGACTAGGTATGACTCAAAGTATTCTGTGCTAGTAGGTGATTATCGGCGCGCTCAGCTGACTTCCGTATGACAAAGCATTCCTCCTGACATTATCTCACATCGTCATAATTTCTCAATAAATTCAAACTTGGGGATTACATGAGCGTGTTGAACCTGCAGCGCATTCAAGCACTTCCAAAGTACCTTCTACAATATGTGGCAATGAAAATTTTTCTTTTTTTTTTTATGAAAGGTACATCATATATGGATATCTATTCCAGCTGGTGCTCGTGATACTTAAGAGCTAATATCTTTTCTGGTTCTTAGACGCATGAACTAATACACATTCCGTGCTTACAAAGAGTAGTAAAAGTTGACGTATTCACTATCGGTTTTGAACAGAATTCGGCAGACGTTAACTTCCAGACCGCTTGAACTGAAACTTTCGTCCTTGCTCAGGGGGGCAACGATGTTCTATGGCATGCAATCATCTACCATTCAGAGCACAATATATGTAATAGGTGCCAGACTTTTGTACGCATAGTAATGTTGCCTGAACATTTATTTGTCAAGGAAATAACAATGCTCCGTTCTCCGGCGTTTATTGGACTAATGGTCAAAAGAAACTCTCAAGACACTGGGCGCGCTAAGTCCGCGCTTCTTTACTCCCACAGTCCTACCCCGACGCTCCGAGTTTCATATTCTGAGCGCAGCAACTAAACAGCGCATGGCGCACAGGAGCGCGACACGCCGAGGCTGCGTTCCAAACTTACTCGAATGAATCAGAGTTCCCTTGGCAGATTATGTCTCGTGACAACAAAAATAGGGGAACGCCGGGCGCGGGTATTTTCGAAAACCACTTTTGCCCTATAGTTAGATCGAGTAAGTTTTGGATCACGGCCCGAAACTATCGACGAGCCACACAAGCTCCTTCCGACCGCACGGCTATGACGAACCCGGCTTCTCCTGAATACGGGAGGCAGAAGCCGAAATTATTTCAAAGATAAATTAATTAGGCCCGTGTGGAGCGATAGAGTCTAAAGCAAAGAGGACGGCGACGTTGTGAAGTTTCTACGAACGTTTTAATGTTAAATGCATCGTGCACATACCTGAAAAGTTACCTTGGCCGATTTATTTATTGGCCATGCATGCTGTTCCGATTTGAATTAAATACAACACTCTTGAACCCCTTCGACGACGTAGGAAACCCTCAAATTTGTCAGAGATTCCGTGGTTTCATCTCGCAGCGCGAAACGGAAGCTACCCCGATACCGGCACACCGTCGTTCGATAGCAAGTCAATTCGTTTTTAGACGGTATGCATGACCAAACGTTTTCCATAACACTTAACTGATATGCTTCGGCTTTCCAATCAAAGTATCTTGATTCGCAGGGCTAAGCAGCCACCGTTCCGACTGTCTTCTCATCTCAACTTTTCTGTCGCTGTGCTGTCGGCACGCTACGGTTCAATCGATGAATTCGTTTTCAGGCGAGATGCATGAACAAACCTTCTCCTCAACCTTTCGGCTTTCAAATCGAAGTATCTTGATTCGCTGGGCCAAGCATTTATAAAAAGGGCAGCGGTTCGACTGTCTTCTCGACTCGATAATTTTTTTGTCGCTGTGCTGTCGGCACGCTACCGTTTGGTAGATGAATTTTTTTTGAGGCAAGACGCATAACAATCCTTTCCCACAAGGCTAACTGACATTTCGGTTTTACAATCTAAGTATTTTA